TGCATCACGGAATAATGCTCACTAGAAATGTCATTGACGTCGCTCGAGGGCCCGCCAGTGAGACTGGTGATGGAGTGGCAGTCAAAGTGACGGAATCCTCATCTCCCCGCAGCGCCGCCACTGCACCACGGTGCTGTGGTTAGCATGCAGCAATGAGTTCAAGGTTCAACTCCTGGCCTCCTTCGCTCCATCACCAAACATTGTGGGCAGCTCCACGGGGGGGTGGGGGGTTGATGAGGGGTGCAGGGGGTGGGCAGCTGTCGGGCTGCACCCGAGGAGTTCCATTCCTGTTCACGAGCAATTGCGGTGCCGAACATTTGAGCCGGTCCTGGGCCTTCCCTAGGTCGACTCAGCCTTAAATGAGTACCTGGCGTGGTGCATAAACTTCACCGTTGGGGAGACATAAGTGGCTGTGTGCGGTGTTGGCCACTCACCATAACAACACTTGCCCCCCAACAGTCTGTAAGAAGGGGCGATCTTTGGCTTTGTGTGCACAAGCACCCTTTGGGCCCGTGTATCCTGCATTGTGAGCGTGTGACCATTCTGTTCTGTTTGTATGTGATTGTGTTTGTGTACGCACGCAGCGGGCTGCACGTGTGGCTGTGTGCAGACTCGCGGGCGTGCGTGTATGTGTTTGTATCTGCAAGGGCTGCTGTACCCCCTGCGTAGTGGTGACGTTTCTGGGTAACCCGACCCAACCGCGATCACGATCCACACACCGCCGCTGGCGTGCTGACAGTGCTCCACACTGGCCGTAGAGGGACACTCGCTGTTCAGTGAGCAGCACCTTAGCGAGCCTGCAATGGCCAGCATTCTCCGCCGCCTTTGTCTTTCCAGATAATGAATATTGAGTACATTTGATGGTGCCGCTATTTTGCGTATAGTGCAGGGTTATCATAGCGGAGGAAGCTGCTCCGTTTCACAGTCTGCAGTAGATTCACAGTCGGGGCAGTGTTACTGTGTGCCATCCCAAGTGAGTAATTTGTAGTGTTTATGTTTGAATAATAATTTGGCCCGTCATGCCTACTCTTGCGAACAACATGAGGGCATCTCTAACATCCACTGTGAAGCAGATGGAGAGTATTTTGATGGTTACCGCATCCGCGGTATTATTGTTAACCGCGGCGGCCTGCTGGATTCGAACCGCGGAACCTCTGCAGCAAGCGGCGAACGTGCTAGCCCGCGTCATCGCTCCAATCACGCTCACAATCTTGTACTGGGCTCTCACTGGGGGGGGGGGGAATTGTGTACGTGTGTATGTTGAACTTCTTTTTCACCCTACATAGCCAACCGTGCTAATCCTTGTGTGGGTACACCACAGCACGGATTCACACCGCTGAGGAGGAACTTGGCTGGTGCCAAAGCGCGAAAGTTCGGTGGTGTAGAACCCACACATCCGCAGCAGCAGCAACAGCTTCCTGGCGCGGGCCCGGCCTAGCTTACTCGTTTTAGGCTGAGTCGACCTCACGGAGTGCCGAGCCCGGCTCACGAGAGGGATCACCGCCGGCGTTTTGCGCCGAATCGAACCCTTCCCGCCGATTGAACCGTAACCGAGGGCGCAAACTCCTGTGCAGTGGCAGTTGTGTGTGTGTGTAGTGTGTGCGGGGTGTGTGCGGGGTGTGTGTGCGGTGTGTGTGTGTAGTGTGTGCGGGGTGTGTGTGCGGTGTGTGTGTGTAGTGTGTGCGGTGTGTGTAGTGTGTGCGGGGTGTGTGCGGGGTGTGTGTGCGGTGTGTGTGTGTAGTGTGTGCGGGGTGTGTGTGCGGTGTGTGTGTAGTGTGTGCGGTGTGTGTAGTGTGTGCGGTGTGTGTGTGTAGTGTGTGCGGGGTGTGTAGTGTGTGTGGGTCTGTGTGTGCGGTGTGTGTGTGTAGTGTGTGCGGTGTGTGTAGTGTGTGTGGGTCTGGTGTGTGTGCGGTGTGTGTGTGTAGTGTGTGTGTAGTGTGTGCGGTGTGTGTAGTGTGTGTGGGTCTGGTGTGTGTGTGCAGTGTGTGTAGTGTGTATGGGTCTGGTGTGTGTGCGGTGTGTGTGTGTAGTGTGTGCGGGGTGTGTGCGGTTTGTGTAGTGTGTGTGGGTCTGGTGTGTGTGCGGTGTGTGTAGTGTAGTGTGTGCGGTGTGTGTGTGTGTGTAGTGTGTGTGGGTCTGGTGTGTGTGCGGTGTGTGTAGTGTGTGTGGGTCTGGTGTGTGTGCGGTGTGTGTGTGTGTGTAGTGTGTATGGGTCTGGTGTGTGTGCGGTGTGTGTGTGTAGTGTGTGCGGTGTGTGTGTAGTGTGTGCGGTGTGTGTGCGGTGTGTGTAGTGTGTGCGGTGTGTGTAGTGTGTGTGGGTCTGGTGTGTGTGCGGTGTGTGTGTGTGTAGTGTGTGCGGGGTGTGTGCGGTGTGTGTAGTGTGTGTGGGTCTGGTGTGTGTGCGGTGTGTGTAGTGTGTGTGGGTCTGGTGTGTGTGCGGTGTGTAGTGTGTGTGGGTCTGGTGTGTGTAGTGTGGTGGTGTGTGTAGTGTGTGGTGTGTAGTGTGTCTTGTGTGTGTGGCGTGTGTGTGTGGTATGTGTATAGTGTGTGTGTGGTGTGTGTGCTGTGTGTATAGTGTGTGTGTGTATATTGTGTGTAGTGTGTGTGTGCGCGCACGTGTACAGTACGCACACACGCTCACTGCACACGGTTTAATCAATGACTTGATGATAAATAGGAGCCTTTTTTTTCTTTCTAACGAGTGGAAAAAACGCCGGTGTCTGGGTGCCCGACCCCCCAGCCACCCCGGTACGGGGCGCCGAGCGGTGGAATTCCGCGCGGGGTCCCGGGGAGCGAGCGGCGCTCGGCCGCGTTACTCCGGCCGCGCCTGCAGCCGGCGCCGGCTGTATTTTACGTTGTGTCATTGTGTAATTAATGCTCCTCCGTCAGCCGTCTCGCAGATCAATGTTGATCTCGCGCTCTCACTCCCGCCAGCGCTCTTCATTTCTCACCGTCGCTCTCTCTCTCTCACGTATGTTTGTCTTGCTGCGGTATTTCCCTCCTCCCGGGGACGTCGGGGGCCGCTCGGCGTTGGTTGTTTTCACATCGGGGATAATAAATATGCGTGGCGCCTGCGACGGGAGGCGGAGGGGGGGTCCCGCATCTCACTGGCTGGGGTGGGGAGGTTGGGGGGAACGTGCCTCGTCTCTCCGGGCTGCACGCTCACTCCGTGACCTCTGCGTGTGACGGACGGCCGTCTCGTCCACAGGATCCCTCGCGCTCACCCTTTCCGTTCGCTTGACAAAGGTTGAGGGTTATTCGATTGAGTCAATCCGTTACCCCCAGCACGCTTGGTAGGACGCCTCCACGCGTGGTTCGTATGTATGAACTTCTTTCGCACCGGACGTAGCCCACGGTGCTTATTGGAGGTGCAGGTGTAGAACAACAAAAGTAAAAGTGCCGTGCGGTTTTGACCGTGGCCACGCGTTACTTCTCTCTCCCCGACGTTTGAATCCGGTTCGGTGAACGAGGGCAGCCTTGGGGATCGGTGCCGGTCTTCCGAACCCAGTGCTCTGTCCCACGTTCTCGCCCGAGGGCCCCTGTCTGCCGAAGACGGTTCGATCGAGGTGGCCGCGATGGAAAGCGGTGTGCGCAAGCGGTGTGGTACCTTGCCGAGTCGAACGTGGGGGTTTACTTCGGCACACGACAGAGAGATCGGCGTCCTGTCAAGAGTTTCCCTGTCGACCGAGGTGCCGGTAGCTGGGACACGAGTGCGCTCGTGCGCTCATGCGCTCCACTAACCCCGCCGCAGTACCACGCGGCGGTGACCCCGACTCCGACACGAGCGGGAAGCGCGGGCGCAGACGAGCAGCGCTCCTCTTGCGCCGTGCGTTCCGAATATCACCCCGCGCACACCGATCACCCCACGCACCGATCTCAGTGCCGCCAATCGATTAAGAGGTGCTGATCGTTATGCTCGGAACTCGAGGGAAAGTTGCACAAAGTTGAGCAATGCACCGAAAATCAGCTAAAAAGACTATTTTACCGTTACAAAAAAAACGGAAATACGTTATTTTGAGAGGGCTTCACCTGACCTGGAGAGCGAGCAAAACTGTCGGATGGTGCTCGGAGTCGGTGCTGGCCGAATACACCCAGGGAAAGTGGCTCAGCGCTCGCTACTGGGAGGTCGTGAGTTCATATCTGGTTGGGGGTTGACTCGGCCCATAATCCCTTGGGGGTCATAAAAGCGACGCTTTTCCACAGAACATCAGTCTGTTGAGTTTTTTAGGTCCCATCTAAGAATAGATCTGTGTTCGCTCGCGTACTCTCCGTCTGCGTGAGCTTCGTGCCTTTAACATTTTTATTATTATTTTCTTCAGTTTTACTCTTTAGGATTGGGTTATTTGATGCAAAGTGCTGTGAGGCCTTGTGTGAATGGCGCTGTGTAAAATCAAGCTTTAGTTAGAGTGCCACAATGGTTGTCCCATAGATGGACCCGACTCCCCCATAGGAATGTGAAATGTTCAGGGCCTCGAATGGTAGATGAGTACCAATGCCTAAATACTCGTCGGACGGAGAGGCACTCTTGATTTTTTGAATACGCCCATTCACGGATGGCTCGATGGCAATGTTTTTCGAACCGTTGCTCCGCTGTGCACGTAGGGAGAGCTTTGTTTTTGCTCGTTCCGCTTTGAAGTCGAAAGGCGCGAGAGCCGGGGCGGAGTTCGGGGCATGCGAGACGTCGCCAGCACCGCCGCCAGCCACTCGAACTCAGAGAAAATAACTTGTCTCTCAGTGAGGCTCGCTTGACCACAATGGGGAATGTGTGAACAACAGTTATTCTCTCTGGGTACAAACAAATAAACAAAAACGGCATCATGATGGGGATTGTTTGGTTGTTCTAATGCTGCATCTGTTGTTCTTGTGATGTCGTGGTTGTTATTGTGATGCTGCATCTATTGTTGTTGTGACGCCGTGGTTGTTGTTGTGATGCAGCGTGCACTGTTGTTGTGGTGATGATGCAGCATCATGTCTCGTGTTCCCCGCTTCCCCATTCGCAGCTTCGACGTGGAGAATGGCGTGTCGGGAGGCCGTAGCCCTCTGGACGCGCAGGCAAGCCCGGGCTCGGGCCTGGTGCTGCACTCGGCGATGCCGCACGGCGCGCGGCGCGAGAGCTTCCTTTACCGCTCCGACAGCGACTACGAGCTCTCGCCCAAGTCGGTGTCGCGCAACTCCTCCATCGCCAGCGACGTGTGAGTGGCGCGCACGCTCACACCTGTGTGTGCGCGTGTTAGCCGGATGATTCTTCTCGCTGCCTGTGCACATCCACCACCGTGGCACAAGGGGTGACCGGGCCTCTCGCTGCAAGAAGGCTAGTGGCGTAGTTCTTGCCCTGATGGCGTTTGAGGCAGTTTCAAACGAAATGTCGCGTATCTAATTGCTAATAATAATAATTAACATTTCTAAAGCGCCTTTCACCTGGAGATAACAAGGTGCTGTACAAAACACAACAGACGCAACCTAACACTAATGCAAATGCTTCAAGAAATAGGAAATGCCCTTTAAAATAGGTTGTGTTTTGAGGCGCGATTTCAATAAAACGAGAGAGTCATCGAAGCGCGTGTACTGGGGCCACGCGAGGTGAGGCCAGGTCACCCCCTTGTCGTACCGAGAGGCCCGGTCACCCCTCTTACAAAGACGTGACCTCGGCACACACTGCGGGCCAGATTCAAAAGAGCAAAGTGCTCTTGCTGGAACACATGGATTAAGCAGGCCCTCTATCTATGAGGGAGCAGCAACATTGAGACATGTTTAGGTGAGGAGAAGCATCTTGAACTCGACTCAAAACCGCACCGGCAGCCAGTGGAGAGATGCCAGCATGGGGGTCATGTGCTCAGCAAGAGGCGTGTGCGTAAGAATTCTGGCAACCACATTCCGTACTTGTTGTAGATGGCTTGATGGTTTATGGGAGATGCCAGAAAACAGCGAATTCCAAAAGTCAATTCGAGAGAACACAAAGGCATGAACCAGCTTCTCGGTGTCTGATAGTTAAGGAATGGGGAGCAGCCTCGCTGTATTCCTAAGATGAAAAAAGGAAGCCTTGGTGACCTTGTTAATGTGCGCTTCGAAGGTTAATTAGGCATCGAAGACAAGTTTGAGACTGTGAACTGCCTGAAGAGCACAAATATTGTGGCCATTGATTGTCAGACACACTGAACCGACCTTGGATAGTTAGTGTGAGGAGACCCAACAAGCATCACCTCTGTCTTACCAAAATTCAACTGAAGGAAATTAGATTGCATCCAAACCTTAATGGTCAAGAGAGAACTTGGCAGACTAGTCACAAGATGCTCGAAGAGAAGATTTAGCCTGAATGTAAATATGATTAACATCAGCATAACAATATAAGCTGAGGCCAAGTTTTCATGAAGTATGACCAAGTGGCATCATATCCAGCAAAAACTCTGTTATCCGGTTTCGTTCGAGGACGATGGCTGTCACTTTTTGGACACGTTCCCCCGTCTCGATGCGCAAACTCCAGCAGCAAATTGCTGCCCCGTGCCCCCCCCCCCCTTCATGATTCGTGGATCCAACAAATTACTCGAGACGATGGTGCATGGCAGCGAGAGCAGTTTACGTGAATGTTATTGCAAGACGTCACATATTTGGCGGCACGGTCCTTCACCGACCATGCGCGATGAATGAATGAATGCTATCTGGCATCAATGGGTAATGGAGGGTGCTGGTTAATCAAATATGCCGGTTATCTGAGGGTTATATTTATGGTTTACCAAATTTTCAAGTACATAAAACTTTTCAGGAAACAAACTAAGCCTATATTTAAACTATAATATAAAACAACAACATACAGTACTCTTTTACAGAGGTACTTACCGGTCAGTTGTAGAGCATTCTAATTTGATTGTAGAGAAACAGTGGGGCTGTTTAGAGTGCAGTATACAGTAGCACAGCATGTACAGGCTGCCGCTAGTGCCACCACGAGAAGCGCACGACAAGATGCCAGATGGCTGTCAGAATTTTTCAGGATACTTGAAGGAAGATTTGTATTGCCGTCCATGACAGATGCCAGTTAACAGAGCATTCCAGATGGTAAAGTGCCAGCTAACAGAGCAATCACTCTATACACAAAACAAGAGTGAACCCTGAGGCACACCAAATGGAACAGAACATGGATCAGAATGTTGCCCTCCAAGGCTGACAAACTGCTTTCGATCGGAGAGGTAAGAAGTGAACCTGCGCAAGGCAATGCCAGAAACCCCCATGCAGCCTTCCACGATGGTGACATGTTAACTACCTCGCCTGGTATACAGGAGGTTGTGGGTTCGATTCTGATCCTGAGGCCTGTATTTGGAGTTTGCATGTTCTCCCCGTGGTCGTGTCGATTTTCCTCCGGGTCCTCCAGTTTTTCCCATCACATTTAGAACCGACGTGCGTTTTAGAGTATTTGCCAGCTATACATTTCCACAAGATAACTCACTTTGATGAGCTATCATTTGTGATAGCCAGGTTGCTTCTGAAAAAGTGATACACAGCTCAGTGGGCCATACCTGCTAAAATACAAATAGTTAATAGTTTTGTTTAATTGCTCGACCAGGATGGGCTGATCCATATTGCCAGAGGTAGCACTGAAGTCCAAAACAACAAGAGAATGCCAGTCAGGCCTAAATCTGGCTGTAGGAATTGGTCTCCAACTGACCAGTGAGTGAGCCAAAGCATTCAGATTCAGCTCATTGGTAAGCGGTATGCGTGCGCAACGCTAACTTCATTCGGTTGTGTCAGGTGGTGGAGGGTCTTAATGACACAAATTTGGCCAGATCATAACGTGGCCCAACCCAAACATCCATTGCAAATTGTGGCGTAGTCATGCGGTCAGCTGTGAAGTGCTCCTGCTGTTGCGTGAAAGCTGCGTGGCTGCACCGACTCCTCCATGTCCCCGTGGTTGTTGTGATCCTCTATTCGAGGAATTGTGGAGCCCGCACAGCAGGTGCTCCAGGATGGCTCCCAAATATTTAGGCTGTCCTGTCTGCCGCCCATTATCTACGCCGGTAGTATTGTAGAACGAGCTCAACGGTGTTTGCTAAATATTTGCTCCCAGTTTTGTTTATTACTGCCGAGGCCTCATTGTCCGTGCAGGGTGTGAGCTTACAGTGTGCGCCAGTGTGTGTGGAGTGATCTCCTGCCCACATGAGCATTGAGGTTGGGGAGCGGTGGTGTAGCGGTTAGCACGCTGCACGAAGAACCAGGCGACCCGAGTTCGATTCCCGTTCACGGAGACAATGGTGGTCCGGCGTGGTGCTGGCCACCCACCCCTTCATGTACCTTTCCGGCCTTTGTAGGTGCTCGCTCATAGCACATGCCCCAACAGCCTCTCAAGGCTTTACGGGGGATCTTTGTCTTTGTGTGGAATGTATGCATGTTTGAATGTGGTGGTGTTGCGAATGAAAACCACAACACCATTATGTTGAACCACAACAACAAAAACAATAACACAAATTTTGATTTAAAGCTTTCGGGACTGCAGGGATTCATATTCTTGGTTCTTTTGGTAAAGTCACATAGAAGGGAAACAATAAAATAATAAAAATATAAAACAATAAAACTCTCACGACGTTTCGACTGCAACACAAGCAATCATCATCAGGTGTGAAAACCACAGCAATAAAATTTGAAAAAAGTGGCGGTTTTTTTAACGTTAGCACCACGGAGAGCGATTTGGTAGTTACCGAAAGAACCAATAATAACAACACAGTTACATTGTTGTTGAATTTGTTTAGCAACTAAACATTGACTTCTATCAGCGATGGGCAGAGTGATTTTGATCGAGGCTAAAACACAATGCTGGTCTTTATCGTTTTGTTAAAAAAAAACATTCTCGCAAACTAAAAAGTCAAGTTTTTTATAATGATGTCGATTTGTAACGCACCCCTGCACAGTATTTGCTCGGCCATCATCCCTTTCCCGGATTGATATAATAACTACCACTTTGTGGGGAAGTAATTAGTAGTGGTTCTATGGATAGACTGTCCCTGTCATAGCAACGTGGAATTTCCACCACTGGCTCGGGTATAAACAGGCGATGAGCACTACGTCAATGCTCATGTGGGCAGGAGATCGCTCTGACCTCGATACCTGAAGATGGATTTCACCTCTGCATTTGTGGCGCAGTCTCAGGTTATTGCTGCTCGTGTGGTGGTCCCTAAATTCCAAGGATTGTAAACAGGACCACCCCCCTCCCCGAACTTTCAATGCAGTGCCAACTTCACGTGTCTAAACTTAGGCGGTGGAAACTTTTGGTAGGCGGCTCTTCCCCCGCGTCCTCTCAGGCTCCAAGGAAGATGAGTCCATGGATGAGATTGGGGAGCAGAGGAGCGAGGGCGGGGCGATCGGAGTGAGGAGTCGTGGAATGGGCGGCCTGCTGTGGGGAGAGGAAGAGTTCTTGGTGGTGCGCTCGAGTCATGTGATCGGTGACAAGGGTAGCGGTCAATGTCGCAATGGAGTAGATGACACCGAGTGTGTGTTATACGAGGGACCTTTGTCTTTGATACTGAGAATGACGAGGAGATTCAGTGACTTGAGACAGTCAGGAGCAAAGGTGAGAGGAGCAACGGTGGTGGGGAGTTGGGATGATGGTCCACGTGGATTTTGTTATCGTCGGCGACGATGACTGCGGCGTGGTTGAAGAGTCCCAGTCTGGAAGTGGTGTCACCAACCAGCGCACGGTGAACTGAGCACCCACGCGCGTTGCCTTGACGCCCGCCGACTAAGCAATCCGCGGATGAGCACGGTGGCTCGAGCCCACTGCACCTGCCTGCAAGTGCTGTTTCAGAGCTACGCGCGCGATGGAACCACCTCCATTGTTGGAGGTCTTGTAAACATCGCGCTCTATACGCTGCGCACACTGTCCGTTTATTTACCCTGGAAGAATAAGCAGTGGTAATTCAAAGCCTACGTCAGTCGACTGCGGGATGGATCTCCCCATTTGTCAGTCGTGGAATTTGTTTGACCATACTTCACCGCGCTGGTCGATATGGGTTGGTGAAGCGGTGGGGGGGGGAGCCAGGACAGGTTCAGATATTGCTCAACACCGACAGTGGCCGTGGCAAGAAATCGAACTTATACCACTTGGTTCATAGCGCAGCGTGTGCCAACGACTTTGCCACCGCTCCCCGCCCTGCCCGTGACAGAACACCACCTCTGGGTAACTTCAGCGGTGCCGGCGGAGTGACGGAGT